GTAAGCCGTGCACACCTTCCTTGAGACAAGCAGGAAAGGGTGTTGTGATGTCTTCGTCCAGCGGTTCAGCTCAGCCCGATCACAGAGATGCATGTAGCGATGCGGCGATCTGCATTGGACCGAGTCCAGATGCGTACTGCCGCTGCTATCCCAGACAGGCACGACATTACATTCAGTTCGGGTGAACAACCACTCATAAGTCAGCTTACACTGGGCTAGCACAAACGCACCCATCATGCGTCCCGCACGACCCGCCACGGGACGGCGGTCGGCGTCCGCCGCGGTAGGTCGCATTCCATTGTGCGGCCGAGGCCGCGCCGCGACACGGTAGGGACGGCATGCTGTGCCGCCGGACCTCCTGAGCGTGCTCACAACAGGCGTCAGATCCTGTTTTTCGTTATTTCGACTGTAGAGTTCTTACATTGACGGTTCTTGACATTCAGTGTGCCAGAAAGTACTGACCTCAAGACATTACCAAGAAAACATTTGTTGTGTTGGGAATATGCAACGTTTTGTGGTGTGGTGATATCGTGAGGTAACATTCACGTACCACAAACTTAGCTTACCGATCACGCACGGTACGCGCACGATTATAAGCCATAATTATGACGACTTATTATGTAATGGTATTTTAAGGTACTACATATATTTCACAGAGTCCTGCCGGAAGACTTGTCCAACAACTACTTCCACGTCCACGCTGACGTCCGCATTTGAGGTGTTCTTGGTGTCAAAGGTCAAGTTTTAATTTTGTTCCCTACAAACCAAATTGGTGCGACCACAAAACGCTTCCATTTTCAGCTGTTCGTGGACTACTTCATGAAAGACCAGGTGGCCGAGTCCCCATTCATCGATCACATGATCGAGGCCTGGAACCTGCGCCACCACCCCAACATGTGCTTCCTCTTCTACGAGGATATGAAGCGCGACCTGCCGTCCCAGATCCGCAAGGTGGCCAAATTCTTCGGCAAGACGTACTCGGATGAGCAGGTGGAGCGTTTGGCTGCGCACCTGCACATCGATAACTTTAAGAAGAACCCGTACGTTAACAACGAGCGGCTCAAGGAGAGTGGCTTCATGCACGCCGACAGGGGCAGCTTCATCCGCAAGGGGAAGACGGGCGACTGGAAGAATCACTTCACCCCCGAGATGAACGCCAAGTTTGATAAGTGGATGGCGCAGAAGTTGCGAGAAACTGACCTTCGGTTTGTTCAGGAGCTCAGTAAGCAAGACTGATCAAGCTTCCTAGGTCTGAACGGAACTCATTACCGGTAGCGGGTCTGTGATGTCGAACGGTCCACCGCCGTATGTATGTAAATTCGGTATATCTGCCCTCTCTCCGACATCGAAAGCATTCTTAACGGTGCAGGCCCTTTTTAAATACAGTGACGGTGATGTCAATGCAGTGCTTTATATGCCCCCTGTTTCATACAACGTAAGGAGATGGTTAAAAGTCGGGTGTCATATCAATATCCGGAGTCTAATATCCCATGTGTTACCAATATCCTAGCTGTGCGCGTCGCGACGTGCACGCGACGCCTTACGAGCATTCTCACTGCGCTCGAAAATTCCACTCTAGCACCACCATCACAGAGTTGTCACAGTTTGCAAAGGTTCTAACCGATCACATCCCTACCGATGCTGAAACGGTGGCAGATAAGAGAAATGCTTCTCCACACTCTGGAAAATCACGTCTCGAGGACAGGGGCCGCTTCGGGAAACCGTAAAAGCTCCTCAAATACCAGCAGCGCGGGGCAGGGTGAAGCGTTTGGGGGTGCTTTAATGAGGACGTCCGAGATGCAAAGGAAGACTGAAAACACCCCCATTCGGCAGGCACTGCGAATACGTACATCGCAGTACAATGTTAGACACAAAATGGTGAAGTCCTAGGAACAAAACCGCTCAGATATCAGACCTGCATGTCTGTAAAGATGCTGCTTATTCAAGAATCGCAGAACCAACCCAAATTATAGATATCAAACCTACACCGAACACCCCCAACTTCCACCTGGAACCGATTGATGCCTGTCCAGTATGTCAGCGTCTGGTAATGCAAGATCTCTTCAAAAGAGTTGCTCAAAATACCACCTCCCAAAAGCTGTGTGATATTTTTCGGAATGCTATTCTGCACAACGCTTGTGTTTTGAGTCCAATGTTCGCTTTTTGTGTGCGTGTGCGTGCGTGCGTGCGTGCGTGCGTGCGTGTGCTGTGCTGTGTGTGTGTGTGTCGTGTGTGTGTGTGTGTGTGTGTGGTGTGTGTGTGTGTGTGTGTGTGTGTGTGTGGTGTGTGTGTGTGTGTGTGTGTGTGTGTGTGGTGTGTGTGTGTGTGTGTGTGTGTGTGTGTGTGTGTGTGTGTGTGTGTGTATGTGTGTGTGCTAAGGAAGGCATAAGGTGGGAATGCATATGCATTTTTGGGTCTATTTCATTTCATGATAAGGGTAAGGTCAAAACTAAAATCACTTGTTTAGCGTATACTTATACTGCTTAAACTAAACACCCTTAATGTGTGAGGAGCAGCCATCATCGTGATATCACTCATTGTTTAATTACATGTGCCCAACGGTACTAGAGCAAAAGGCTGCGCAACCATGGGAGTAAATTTTGGTAGCCCGTAATATGGTTTTTGGTTGATTCTTCGAAACGATTAGTAGATACTAATAACATGATTAAAAACGGAAATTTTACCAACAAGCTGCGTAGTAACCCTGTTCTTTATCTTTATTTTGATATTATATGGATAGATATTGTATATTTTGTACTCAAAACGCTCTAAAGACAAATCAATGCCAGAAACTGCCTAAAAAGTAGATCCTACTAAACAGCGTTTTCTACATCCAGGACCCGAGCCACATTCGTCGCTGTCAACGCGCCTGAACATTTATATGTTATGCCTTTTTGTTAGCTGGATGTTTATTTGTGAATAAATCGATATGATGTGAATCTTTATTTAAGTACATGAATTGTTAATGATTGCCCATATGCCGTCGCACTGCAATACCTACCTGGATTGAGGTGAAAAATAAGGTAATGTGAAAAGGCTGTGCGTATACACCCTCCAAAACGTAGGGTGGTAACGCACCGGGCTTATACACCCTCCAAAACGGAGGGTGGTTACGCACCGGATTTACACACCCTCAAAAAATCTTTCAGATGGTTTACGTCTCAAGCATACGGGCACTGGCAGTCTTGGAGACAAGGAACTATAAAAATGCAGAATCCCGAGCGAGAACTCGGTTCTCTGCGTGGCAAACATCAAACGATCAGTGTGGTATTGCAGCGCAGCGAATTACGGCAGTGTTTCAACATGTTCCGTTGCGCCGTTTGGAAATATAGCCAACTCACGAGTGGATTGCAACGCACCAAGCCACGTGTATCGCGCTGTGCCTGAAAGCCTACCCAGCTAATAAACTGCCATCTTTCTGCACTGAGCGTGTATGCAACAATCGCGAAATCAATCAACTCACTCTGAACCATTTCTAGTCATATCACGAATTTTCGGTGGTGGGGCCCGTATCTCCAGTGGATGGATGGTTGTAGTGCTGGTCTCTCACGCGGTAAGCCCGGGTTCGAATCTCGACGACGGACGCCGTTAAGGGGGTGGCTTCATGGTCTATCGGCGCGGCGTGATGGTGCCAACTCGCTTTACTTCTAAGCGGAATGAATCCTGAATACGGTTTTTCATATCGGACAGCACCGTAGTTTCTAATGTTAGGGGGAGGAAGTCCACACCCCACAGAGATACTGAGGATCCCGTGAAGGTTCACCGTAAATACAACCGAGTCTGACACACTGAAAAGCCAGTGGAAATGACGCATACGACGGCAGAGGCATGTATAGTTACGTTCGGCAACTGCGCGTAAAAATTCATCGGCGCGTTTTCGACTGCTGCTGAAAGGCGAAGGCAGCAAGGCTAATAGGGAGGGAATCTGAGCAGTCATGGCTGCCGCAGGAGACCAACACAGTGGCTCCCGCCAGCAAGTATAGGGTCCTCAGAGCAAGCAAAACTGAACTCAAGACCAACGTGGTGGGCCCCTGAACGATCGGTAATGTCTGGAAAGGCTGACCTATGAAGCCCCGGTCATAGCACAGGACCCTCCGAGGAAAGGGAAATTACTCAGGACTATAAATTAATACCCCTGTGCAATCAAGGGTGCACGGCCAGGTTAACAACACGAGTCTCGATAGGAGTGAAAAGTCAGCCTCAAATGAGACCACAGGAAAAGAGCCCTCGAACAAAGTAGAGGGCCCCTGAGCATCGAACATCTCCGCGCCTTGCCTTATAAGAGCCCTAGCAACAGCACACGGACTTCAAGCAATCAGAAAGGACCTGAGATTTATATGAAGGACCCCTGAGCAACTGAATGCACTCTGGAATGTACAGCCCCGGAAAGATTGTATGTAGCCTTTCGGGTAAATGGGTACAATCCGTGGAGGAAAACCCGATTGATCAACAGTGCTCAAGCATGGAGGCAAGTAGCGTCCCAACAGCACATTGGGCCCTACGAAAAAGTGGGAAGAGGTCAAGGGTAACGTGGAAAGCTCCTTAGCGATCAGATTGACGCGGCAAGTGGACATATAGAGACAGGCAGCCAACAGCGTAATGCCTCCAGACAGCGTAATGAGCCCCAAAATTTCCCCCAAGCAACACTCTCAATCAGCGAAGAATGAACTTCGTTTACCTATGAACTTTTTACTTTTGCTAGCAATGGTTCTTGGTCATCTGTAGGCCCAAATGCATCCAATTTTGTTGTGCGTTTGTTGTAAGGAAACTGCGTCCGTCCAGCCGGTTATGGGCCCCTTCGCAGCCTTTAGGTTCCCTCGGCGTGGTCCATGGGACATGGTCCTGTGCCTCTCTCCTCCCGCCTCCCTCCCCCCCCCCCCCCCCCCCTACCATGTGCATCCGCCACCGCCCCGAGCAGCTGAATAAATAGGGTCCGCTAAGAACATAGGGCCATCCATTCAAATAAGACATTAGGCTTGTGGTAGGCTCTGACGCAATGAGGCTGACGCAATGTGTAGGGCTCTGAACGATCGAGTGCGCCAGAGCAGGTTAACATATAGGACTTCCGTCAAGAGCTTGGGGCCCTCCATTCAAACAGGAAGTGTTCAAGACCAAATGCAAAGGACCCTTGAATGATGCAGTCTATCAAAGTAAGCAAACATTATAGGACCCGGTCAAATGCGGAACGCCCTCCATTCAAAAAGAAAACCCCCAAGACCCAATGTAGAGGGCCCCCGAATGATCGAGTGGACTCGAGCAGGTTAACAAATAGGGCTCCCAACAGGAGCGTAGGGCCCTCAATTCGAATGGGAAACACCGAAGACCTTATAAAAATGACCCCAGAATGATGTTATGTGCCCGAGTAGCGTATCAGGAGGAGCCCGACAATAGCGCAGGGCCCTTCATTGAAATAAGAAGTACTCAAAACCCAGTGCGGATGACCCTCCAAAAATTGGAGTATACCCGAGCAGATCATCACATGACCCGGACAGGAGTGTAGGGCCCTAAATTCAGTCATCAAGACCCAATATTTAGGGCCCTCGAACAATCCAATGTGGCCAAACCGGCGAACAGATGGGGTCCCGACAAGTGCATAGGTTCCTCCATTCAGATAGGAAGTACCCAAGACAATGTGGAGGGCCCCCGGATATTCGAGTGTGCCCGAGCAGGTTAACAGGTGGGGCTCCGTCAAGAGCGTACGGCTTTCCGCTCAAATGTGAATTAGCCACGGCACGATGTAGAAGGCCCCGAAAAGCCGGGTGCGCCAGAGCAGGTTAACAGATAGGGCCCCCAAAAAGAGCGGAGGGCCCTCAATTAGAAAAGGAAGTACCCAGAACCGGACGTGGAGGTCCCCCACGATCGAATGGGCCCGAGCATCTTATCAGATTGGGCCCCGACAGGAGCTTAAGGCCCTCCATTCAAATAAGAAATACCTAAAACCCCATGCGGAGGGCCCCAAAAGATGGAGTGTACCTGAACAGGTTATCAGATGACCCCGATACGGGCAGAGGGCCCTAAATTCAAACACTGAGAACCGATGTACAGAGCCCACCAGCAATCTGGTGTGGGTGAGGAGGCGAACAGAGGGGGCCCCCGACAATTGCCTAGGGCCCCATTCAAATAGTATGTGCCTAAGGCCCGTTATAGAGGGCCCCCGAACGACCAAATGTGCCCGAGCAGGTTATCAGATAGCCCTCCCCCCACTCCCCACAGAAGCGCAGGCCCTCCATTCAGAAAATAAGTACCAAAAACCTGGTGTAGACGGTCCCCAAACGTCTGAGCGTGCCCAAGCAGGCCATTAGATGGGCCCCCGATAAAGAGTGTGGGGCCCCTAAGCAAGTGACAAAGAACTGGAAACGCCCTAGACCAATGTAGAGTACCCATGGGCATATCGCAAGTGTGTCGGTAGGTTAACCGATACCAACGTAAAGGGCCCCTGGGGAGCCGAGAATACCCCGGCAGGTCAAGGTATGGGACTCTGGCTACCGCTCACAGAGCTCTTCTGGCGAATGGCAATAATCCGTGGAAGGGCCCGTGATTGACAAGAGTTCCCCGGCACGCTAACTGGAAGGGCCCCAACAACAGCGCAGGGCACTCGGCGCAAATGCAAAGAAATGAAGGACAACGTGGAGTATCCCAAACGACCGAAATAAACCTGCAATTGACACATAGGTCCCCGGAAACAGCATGGGGCCCTAGACGATGTAATGGGGCTTAAAATTTCCAGTTCACAACTTTTCCAGCCATTGAGTTATTTTTTTTGACTTCTCGTATGCCCTTCACGTTCGCTTACAACTGTTCTTGGTCGCCTGAAAGTCCAGAGATACCCAGTTTTGTTGCGTTGTGTTTTAAAAAAAACTGCACCTGTTCGGCCGGCTGTCGGCCCCCCGGAGCCAATGGGCCTTTTCGTGGCCCAGAGGGGGGGGGGGGGGCATGCCCCTTGGTCCCCTCTCTGGACCCGCCCCTGCTTGTTACCGTATGTTTTGGGGGATACTTTTGTTATTTTCCACTTTTTTGCCCCTCCCCGAACTCAGTTTGCCCTTGATGTCGGACTGTCGTGATGTCGGACTGTCTTAGAGCCACAACCTTCAGACTCTGCTCCAGATCAAGGCGTGGCTGCAGATGTCTTCTCCTCAGGACTTTCTAGCCACAGCGCAGCTGGAGATACCCGCCCCGTCGCCTCCGAAGGCAGCTCCA